CTTCATAAAGTAAGAATTAACGAAATAAAATAAGAACGCGTACTTTTTCAATTCCATAATATACCAACAGAGAAGTATTAACACACGTTAAAGCTTATTAAGTATACGAAAACTAGTTAAAATAGTCATTAGAACTCGAACCAACCAACGTCCACTTGACTCCCGTAGTCAATTTAAAAACCCCGCCCTTACGCTACATCTTAAAAAAGTATTAACAAAATCTTTAATTACTTTCGTATCGCAACCGCGTCCCGGACATTTATCAAATTCCTTATTCAATACGACGTTAGACCTGAATAGGCAGGTTATCAATGTCGAAAACGGAAATTAGGAGGGAATAAGGGCCCTCGAGAGAAGAAACAACAATTAAGAAGGTCAAAGAATTCGATCTTGGGATAGATTTCGAGGTTAAGAATCCCAGTCCGGGCCGTCATGGCGTCGCGGAGGGTAGCAATTCTTCCCCCGGGGGAAACTAGGGGAAAAAAGGGCTCTCGAGCAGACTCCAAGCGATGAAACGTTAAAGGGAAAACAATTCCGAGGCGACGAGCCGGCGTTTCGGGGCGCGCAAACAAAAGAGGAACGCGACTCGCACTTCGACGGAAGAAGCCTCAGGCCTTGGGCGCGAATCCGAAAACAGCCACACTCCGGTAGCCGTTACCGCATTCTCCTTTGTCCCTACCCCTTTAATTAAACACTGAAAAAGGAACCCCAAAGAGGCCGGTTTCCCCTCTCTCTCCCTCCTCGTGTCTATAGCGGCCCTATCTCGGTTCCCGCGCCGAGTCGGCCGCCATCTTGGAAATCGAGTCTTCGCGCACGCCGAGGCTATATCTCGTTATCAGGATTTTCGCCCCCTCAGGACCCTCTCCGCGATGGCGAGAACTCGATAACCGTCCGGATAGGCTTGAAGAACTCGATAGTATCGAAAAGCCGGCGGTTATCGAGGAATAAACGTCAGAAGACGTGCAAGTGGTCGATAATTGTCGCGCGCCAATATGGCGCCGGGGAAGAAGGAAAAGAAACTGCGGACCGTTATCGAAGTCTCGATCGTGACAGAGAGAAATTAACGCGGGTTAGGTGAACAGTTAATACCGGTGACAAAGGTGCCGAAATGTCTAGGACTAGAAATTCCGATTTTGGGCGGTAGAGGAGATTTAATATCTTTTTATAAATGTTTTCTTTCCAGCCCTGATAACGACACAGCCCCACCGTGCGCTGTATAAACTAGCGTGTACAGTATCTTAACATATCTTCCTTTTGTCTTTCCTTAGTCTTCGACCAGGATTTTCTACCGCTAGTTTAGAACTATCGGACCAACACTGATAAAAATGCCCACGTTAATTTGCATAACCGATAATTGGGTATTTCGATGCGACGTTAAATTACAGTGAAATTACATTCTCACTGTAATATCACATTGAGCATCTGAGATAAATTATAGAATATGATAATGTGACGTTAAATTAAATTCAAGAAGAAATTCAGGAATACGGTAAATACACAATGTTAGGTGTATTTATACATTGTCTCATTTTCTAATTCTTCCGTTTTTCTATGTGAGACTTAAATTACGAAGTGTGTAAAAAGTGTATGGTAAATTTACATAGATTTTTTATTAGTGTGGGTCTCATTTTTTCGCGTGGAGTACACCGAGAGTTAGGTTAGGTTGCATGGCATTAGGCCTCACTGGAGAGAAAGAGAGAGCGCGCGTGTGGGTGTGTACATAGGGCATTATCGGTATACATACTACGTGCTATCACAATGGACGACTCTCGTACGTTTTCCGGGTGAGACCGAAAACGACTCGAAACCCTGACAAGGGCCCGATAAAAATCCCGCTGATAAAAAATAACTCTACTATCTATTTGACTCTCTCTCCAACCCTTTTCCATACTGGAAGACTGCCTCCGAGTTGGACCCTCCGAAGAGGTTCTTCGTCAAGGCGTCGCCATTTTGTGCGTTTCGGCCCTGAATTCCTTAAAAGAGTCGCCTTCGGTCTCGCTCGTGTCCGAAGAGTCAGGGAGGAACAAAGGCGCTCCGGAAATTCGGCAATAAAAGATTCTCGATCGTTCCCCATATCCCCAGAATTCCACCATCTCTAAAACCCGAAAAAACACTGCCCGACAAAGTGAGTCGAGCACCTCCGAGATCCATTTTATCATAACATTTGAAATGATTACATTCCCTCCCCCAATACTTAAAGGAAATATCTCTAGAGTCCATGATTTTAAACCTTTTCACCATTCTATATCATTAATTAATTTATTTATTCACTCGATTACACGTGAATTTAAGTCCATAGTTGAGAGGCAGTGCGTCCTCACCAGGGTATCCCCACCACTCTTACATATCTGCGTCGTCATTGGCTCTCGGCAGCGAGAGTGGGGATATGGGGGCGTGGTCGCAGTGGCTCTCACTCGACCCCACCGTAATTCTACTACAAAACAGGAATCCATGAGGAAAAAAGATCTACTCCTAGTCCACAGGCATAAAACAGCCCAAACAATTAATCCTTTTCCACGTTAACTAGGTACTTCGATAGTAAAAATAGATCAATCCAAGCGGTATAGAAATTCCACCGGAGAAGAGAATAATCCTGGACGTGGTTTCGCGACAAAGCGCCATTGTTCGAGCCCGACTCTTCCTCGTCGGCCGTCGTACAACACCTAACCTAAAACCTAACCATGGTTACGAGTACGGAGCCGCACTCGGTCGGCGTTGCCGGATCCGAGGAAGCATCCAGGAATTAGTCAAAGTGCAAGAAGGCGTCCTCCATCCGGCAACACCGCGCGCGACGTTCGCGCCATCTTTGACGAGCTTTCCGTACTTCCGCGGTGGGCGCGGAAGTCGATATATGTATATATAAACGTATATATTCTCTCTCAGATCACTCCGTTGTGTAAAGAAAAGTATATACACGTACATACGGGCTGTATTTATATATGTATATGTATATTTATATTAATATATATTATTGTATCGTATGCGTATGCCGATTCGAGAGGTGTATTCAAATCACTGGCGGGTGTGTATGTATATATATATATATGTATATATGTATATATCTATATAGTCGGTCGGAGACACGAGCGCATCGACGAGCGGACGACTATTTACCCGACTCGTTGGACTCCCCTGATTTCGGTAGATTAACCTAAGTCCGTTCTAAAATTATGCGTATCGACTCGGTAGGGTTGCTTAACCTAAAACTATATCTGCGTATGTGTCTGCGTATTTCGGTCGGCTGGTTTGCTTCCCGTTGTGCGGAGTGCGTGACAAAGTACGCGCGTGTCAATTTATGCTCGCGCCTTCCACGTGAGATCAGCGCCGTGACTTTGTGTACCGTTTTATCGAGCTTATCAATATAAATAACCTATATGGCCGATATTCTAAGGGCGTGCAATAAAGCCCCGAGTGAACAATCCTAGGAGCGCGGACGTATCCGCCGGAATATCACTACAAGCGGGACTCCTCGCCCGGTCATAAATCTCGGATAAGATACCATCTCTAGACGCGCATTGATAAATCTTGTCCAAGATTACAATAAGATCTACTGCTGCCATCTGCAGCGGACCTTGTCCAGGATTACGGCAAGATCCAGCCCAGAGATCCGCAGCAGACGGCGTTTCTCGGTAATTTAAGAGGCTCCTTTGCGGATATTTACGTCTTATCACTTAATCTGCACAATTTGAGCCCAGGAGGAAGTCACTAGCACTGTTAGTTTCCGAGTTTTCGATAATCGAAATCTCGAGGTGGAGGACCGCCGTCTAGCGGATGGCCGCCATGTTGCCCGCGCGTCTAGTGGCGTTCCATTGACGTTTTCGAGGTTCTTTGACGCCGAGAATGCGCGGACGGCCTAGGAAACGGGAAATCTCACGGAAAACTCTATGTCGAACGTTAATTATCTTGATATCTCTTCGATAAAACGGTACAGAATGCCGCTACTGGTTCGGGATCGAGCGGGAAACGATCGGACGTCTCGCCGTTTCCACCGTGTCTCGTTTCGCATAAATGCATTTGCATGTCCGTGTGTGTATCATTATTCCTACAGCTCTCCTTCTTTCGTTCGGTTTCCTTTGCGTCCGCATTCTAGTAAAGTTACCGCCGAGTCTTCGGTAAAATCCGTAGGTGCGCAAAAACATTAGAAATTCCCGCGCGACGAGCCGAGTCCGCCGCGCGCGACTCGTCCCCGAATTGAACCTGGGAAAGGAAAAGGATCGCCGGTGTTCTCGGGATGCAGTAAATAGGACCGAAGTGGAACCCATACTGGGTGAGCAACGAATCGGAGAAGGCACCACGAAGTGCGTGGTTACTAAAATTTATAGGTTAGGACCCCAGACATTCGTTGCGCCGTGGAAATTGGATTTCCAGTCTCGGCGCTGGGCAAGGTGCGTCTACGAGGTATCTAGGAGAACTAGGTAACCTAACCTACCCTACATTGCTACGTCAGGGAGCTCCTCCCTGAACGAAAACAAGAAATACATAAAATATAAAAAGGAAACAAGGCAACACGTATCTAAAAGCGACTTCGTCACCGGGAGAGGGAAGAACATCGAAGAGCCTCCGATTCCAAGATGGCGGACGTCTGACGAATTGATCATCGGGTGCCTTTAGAAGACCCCGACCTCTCCCAGTCCTTGCCGCGGTAAAATATTTTCCACTTTTGCTAAAACTTTCTCGAAAGTCGCCATCCGTCTTCCAATTTGCCTAGGTATCAGTACGGATCATCGCACGCCCTGAAGACCTTAAGGTGATGTTAAAGTGGCGTCGAAGAGGTCTCGCTGATGGAACGAATTTCCGGACAGGGTGTACCGAATCGTTTTACACTTGACAATGTGAATATGGAGGTTACAAGGAAGGTCCTGACCACCCATAAAATTTCAATCTTTTGAACATCTGTTTATAATTTTAAAATTTTTGATAAAAAATTAAATTTCATTAGTGTCAAGACCTTCCTTGTACCCTCCATGTTCATGTTGTAAAGTTTGAAACGGTTCGGTGCATCCAGTACGGAGAAAAGTATCACGCACGATTGATCTTTCGGATGGCACTTTCACATCCCCTTAAGGGAGCGAAACTGTTCCGCCGATGTTGCTGATCGACGCGAAGCTGGCTCCTCTTCAGGGAGGTCGTCAAGAAGAACAAGAGCAGGAGAAGCAAATGCCGAGGTTGGCCTCGCAGAAGCGAGGCTCTCCAAACGATACGATGGGGATCGGGACAATAAGGCACTGTTCACCGACAATGACTGACTAGAAAATGAAACTATGTTCGGAACTTTTGTGTTTGGTCAGCGTCGAAGCGCTGGACCGATTGTCGATAGGATCTCATTGGGACTCCAACGGGTCTCCAAGGTGCGTCTTCCTCGAGGAAGCCAGGAACCAACGTCGACATTGGATGTCAGGACGAGGATCTTATGATCAGAATTCTTGGATCCGGAATTTTCCCAGCCACGCTTACGGAAAAACATGATAGACCTACTCGAAACATCACATTTCCGCCGAAACACCAACGTAACTTAAAAGAAATCTAACATTCAAAAGGGACCCCATTTCCCGGACTAGGAGAACGTCTGAAACGATAACAATGACAACCAACGAAAAAAAGAAAAAGAACCGACCTAGGGTCGCGCCTAAGAACAAAACCTAACAGGAAGATAGACAACATTCAAGGTCCAAAAACCGAGTACAAAGTTCCCAAGGACATCGATCATGAGGATTGGTGTCCAAATACCACACAACTCGGTGGTTAAGGACCACAGAACCATCAATCCAAGAGTTCCGACCAGAAGATGCTGGTTAACATCCTCAGGGTGCAGATACCCAGATGTAGAGATCAACTGATCCAGGATGAAATCATGACTGATCTAGATCCAGCTCCCAAAGGAGCGACGCCAGAGACCCATCACCCTCGACCCCTTCGACATTAGACCGGTGATCGATTTACGTAGTCTTCATTTTCTTGTAGGGCTGCATGACAACGCCGCTGCTGACAGGAATGGCTACCTGAGGTTGAGCAGCTATCGTGGCCGGATTGCCAGTCTGGAGCTGAGGAACTGTGGGGACGCCAGTAGCGACCCCATGACCAGCAACCCCGGCTACCCCAGCAGGCAGCATCCCATAAGGAGTCTGCATATAAGGACTGGCCGCAGTGTGTACCCCAGGAATGGACGTCTGCATGTAGTGAGAGGGCAGAAGCTGCGGTCTGACCAGAGAATAGGGGTTGATAGGCGTGGCGGCACTAGGAGGCCTGGGGTAGGCCAAGATGCCAGATGGAAGTGGAGACGCAAGGGACCCATGAAGTCCAGTAAGGCCGGTAAGGACGGGCCTGGGAGTGGCGAAGCCTGGCAAGGACGCCGCGGCAGCGTGCTGATGGTTTACCCCCAAAGCTTGCTTGTTCAGGGCCACCCCGGTGTAGTTCAACGCAGAGAGATGGTTGAGGCTATAGGAAGCCTGGGAGGCCTGGGACAGCTTGATGGCTTTGGCGTAGTTCTTCTGGGCAACCTCTTTGGCCAGGGCGGCGGGGTCTACCGAGAGGTTGGGGGCCATACCGAGGGCGCTGAGGACGTTCAGGTTGGCCATGTTGGCCATGGTGTAGTTGGCCATGGAGGTCATGACCACCGGACTCATCGAGGAGCCAACCGAGGTCAGATTTGCCATGGAAGTCATGGGACTCATGGATGGCGGCGCCTGAAGAGTCAGCTGACTGACTTGTTGGGGGGAGGAGGTGTGGTTCAATTCAGGGGAGGCGTGGGCGTTCTCGGTTTCATGGTTCGAGGCTTGCTTCTCACCACCTGTCGGAGGTGGTGGAGGCGGATTGTTGGGGTCCAGGAGGACCCCGTGGCCGTTCGCCTCGGCGGCTGCTGCGGCTACTGCTGCTGCGGCTGCTGCTGCTGCAGCGGCTCCTTGAGACTGAATCGAGTTTTGCGGGGGCACGACCGATTGGTTAGAGGTCTGGGGAAGCGGGGGTGTTCCAGGGTACTCACATGACACAGGCACGAAGGGCTGTTGCAGCTGCATTAACTGCTGATAGGTCGTCGCACCGGTGGGCTGGTAGACCGGCATGCCCGACTTGTCGCCGGCAGGCCGTTTGTACGGTACCATTCCCGGGAATGCCTGAAAACAAGCGCAAAGATATATTAGTCAATGAGCTTGTCGGAAGATCCTCCTGACTCCAATCTAAGGGGCTATACCACTGTGAACGCCGAAAAAGTAGTCAAAGATGTGTCATTTTTTCGACATTTATAGTAGTATAGCCCCTTAATCCAGTTCTTCCGTCTCGAGCTTCTTTGCTCCGGATCAGCTCTCATATCACCTTAAGAACTTTTCTGGGTTCCGTCATGCATTTACGTCGGTCATCAGTGCCTACTCTTAGTACTCTGTTATTTCCACGCATCGATCAATGGAATCAAGATCACGGAAGTTAGGCTGGGGAACCTGCGTCTACCTTACAATGAAGCAGAATTTCCAAAATTGATAAAAAAAAAAGGATCAATCTGGTCCTGAGTCATCAAAGACGTTCGCAGTTCAAAGTTGGCGCGTGGAAGTGATTGCTACAAATGACTTGCCACAAAAGAAAAAAAAGGACCCGATCTAGAGTCATCATCTTTAAGGAGATGTGCGGCATAGTGATCGCTATCAATGGCTTGCTGTACAAAAAGAGAGGTCAATCCGGGCTTCAGTCATCGTCATCGTGGGGTCGGCATGTCGAAACCGCGGATTTGGGAGAAAAGTATGAAGTTCTGGATTTGTCTGCACTTACAAAGTTCTCGTAGTAGAACGACCCGATAGACTTCATGTCCATCTGCAACAAAGACAGGATAGGTTTCAACTCGCTTCGAGAAGGCCAGCGAGGGGTTCGCGCTATATTCCGTTTCCGGTTCGTTCATTCGGTTCCGGGGGCGAGAGGAGACCGGAAGTAGGTGGTTTTGGGGGGTCCGACTGGGGGATGGTCTCGTTAAAAAAGTTGTGCCGATGACGCAGCTTGCAGCGACGTTCCCACGTACGACGACGTTTCATTGCTGGACAACTGGAAAACTTCTCTACGTGGGGAGCTATGTCAGAAAAACCAACCATACTCGAAATGCGAGTGGATTTAGGTCCAATAAGCGATTCGCTCCTCTTGGGTTCCAAAACCGAGCACCGATCGCTCCGGGGGTGGCTTTGCACCCCCCGCGAAGTTGGAGCTGTTTGCGCGCCAGAAGTGGTTCATCGGCGATATTTTGCAACCCCCCTTCCCTCCCACGCCTGGAACAAGAGGTTTTCCAAAAGCGACCGGAAGTCATCGAGATCATCCAGAAATTAGCAACGCAACCACTCGTAGACGTCACGTCTCGTTCCTGCCGCGTAAACGCTCTAACCACATCTTCCCGACAATATCCATTTTCACGCCGCAACGATGCATGTAGGAGAAAAATGTTTCCCACCAAAGTTGCTCGGAATGACAAGCCGAACAACTTTTGTTGGAAGTACTTTCTTATCGAACGCGTCGTTAACGCGGAAATTCTGGTTCTGTTGTTGGGGAAGGTGCGGTTAGGGCAGTCCTGATCAACATGGTAGATTGGTGCGGGTTTAGGGGACGTGCTGGTGGTTCCTTTCTTTTTTTAAGAACTGCTGGTTCCTGTTCGTGATCGATAGTCGTGGTGCCACCAGTTTCACGATGAAGTTCAGATCTCCGCGTTTTTGGAAAGCATCCGTCTTCCTTGTGGCCTGGTTCCAAAGAAACAATCCCGAGGCTTGATTTCCGCGCCTAGCATCAAGGGAAACGTAAAAGAGAAATGCGAAGTTGTGGAAAAGAGAGAAAGAGGGAGAGATAGAGAGAGAGAGAAAGAGAGAGAGATAGAGGCGCAATAAAGAAAGGCAGCGAGAGTCGATCTCTGAAGGATCGTTTCAAGCAAGATCGAGCGCCGATCCTGGGCCGAAGCGAGAAGAGAACGAAAAATGTCGAGTGCGGACGGAACAAAAGAAGCGGAAGAGACGATTACGTGTACCAATGCTAAGAGAGGTTAAAGAGATACTCGAAGAAAGCAAAATTTTCGGGACTGTCGCGGGGAGAGGAATCCACGCGATTCCTCATTTTCGGAAGCAGCTTTGGAGATGCGGAAGCTCGAAAAAGCCGAGGCCGGCAAGACAAACGTGGACCGACTGCAACTGTCGAGAACTTTATCGGCTTTTCTTGCAAGCATAAGGTAATCTTACCGTCGATGTACATATTTTTTGAAGTCGATTCAGTTCTCGATCAGCACAAATGGTCGAAGGCCACGAAGGAGGCGGAAGCGAAGGACTTGCTCCAGCAAGATCCGCGACTTAGAATGTCGGGCAGCGCAAAAAGAGCCTCATTGTCGCGACATTAATCAAATTAGGGAGAAACAGAAGACGAGAGGGAACCCACCAGTTGCAAAGAAAAGGCTCGCCATCGGGCACGACCAATCGGAACCTCGAGTTGGGTAAAACTCGGTGGATTCTATTTCCTAAAAGTCCCAGGACAAATTTCTTAATCCTTCCGAGGAGGCACGAAAAGTAGCGACTTTGGTGACCGACATTTAATGCTGGAGTCCCATCTAACAAAGAGACTTCTTCCCAAAAGTTTAACTATTAGCAGCGACAATTATCAATCACGGGGTTCTTTAAAGTTGCTCGAAAGTGACTTCTTATTGTATTATAAAAAAATCATAAATTTCGATCAGAGATAGACTTTACCGAAAATCTTAGTAAGCCACCTTCGAGCTTCGTTTAGGTCACCGTCTGATCATCGTTTCCAGGACACGTGCTCATGGGACGCCAGCATGTGTCAGCCTCCATTTTGTTTCCCTCAGGACACAAATTGGGTCTTGCTTAAACATTTGGATAGTGCCAAAAGCCGAGACCAGTTTGCATCTATTGGTTCGAAGCTGATATTGGATTCGGTGGCTGATGGACCAGAATCTGGACCCAGGTGAGGATCCATCACTGTCATCAACAAAACAGACTGATTGTGCCTATTGCCTGATAGAGGATGATTCCTCGGTTCGAGGTCGTGCCCGGAAACGCCGAAAGCCGATCCACTGCGTGGTGAGAGGACTGAAAAAGACACACAAGAGAGGTGGCGGCGAACTTCGGCTGAGGAAAAAGAAACGATGGCGAGTGCACGATCAAGTAGTACGGTAAAACGTAAGCGCTCTACTTAGTGCTGCGTCGTAGCGAGGCTTTTGGTCGTGACGTCCACCCAGGTCGACGAATCGGTGGTCCGAGGTGTTGGACTCTGTCGGCGATCATCGAGACCGGACTCGGACCCAATCGCCGGATACGCGGTCATCGTCCGCGGCTCTGACGAGGGGATGATGACGACGGGCACCATCACCTCGGGGTCGCTTTTAAGCACAACATGCATCATCGGCGCAAGCTCGGACTTACACGGCTCTAAATCCGTAGTCGAATCGCGTCCCCCGGTCTTAGGTGATGCCGGGAACGTGAGATAAGAGTACGGTGATTAGAGTCCAGACCCTGCAAAGTTGCTCCCGTGACCTGGGTCAAGACAGACGCCACATCTTGGCTCGGGGCCCAGGATCCCGGATTCGGAGCCTAGGGAACCTCGACTTGGAGATGGGTGTCTTCAATTTGTGTCTTGGGACGAATGCCCTGCGTCGTGGGGTTGAGATTCAAGGCGGATGCATTGTGTTGTGGGGCTCGGGTCTTAAGACGAGTGCATGGTGGAGTGGAGTCTTGGCAAATGGCGCGGAGAAGGGTTCGGAAATCCCGGTGCTAGTTAGAAATAAAGTGCTGGTGATGGGACCTTCCGAGAGCTCTAGTAAACGTATATCGGATGAACTGATGATGATGGGGCCTTCCGAGAGCTCAACTAAACGTATATCGGATGAACTGATGATGATGGGACCTTCCGAGAGCTCAACTAAACGTATATTGGATGAACTGATGATGGGATCGGGGGACTTAATCTGTGGGCTAGGGCCTGCTCATCGAACACACCACTGTTGCCGATCCTGACACCTGACACCAAGATTTGATCGTCAAAGAACAGATAATGCGTTCCTGTGCCCACCCCACGGTGTAGACCATTAAGTCCACCGCAACCGGAGCAAACAATGAAGATATATCGAACGAGTGTCCCCTTGTTTCTCTGGGGCGGCAACAATGATGTGGTTTTTCAACTATAGCATCCCTGGCTCCTCCGGTGGACGCCGGACGATCCACCAACACCGGATCAGGTAATGGGGAGGTGTTTGAAGAGTATCGCCCTCGGTAATGGAGGCGCACCAGCAGTGTATTCGATTTCAGGGGTGTCTAACTGATTCCTATTTTCGGTTCATGATTAGGTGCAACACGGGAGCAACTTGGCGGGCTCGGATTCGCCGGGACGGAGTCGAAAAGAACCGTCCAGTCGAGCGTGGATTTGGATTTTCGGCCCGAGGGATTGCCGAGGGAAGTCGAGGGTAACTCGCTCGCAATCCTCAGCCATGTCCACGTCTCGTTTTCCTTCATCTAGAGACCTGGGGCCTGAATAGTGTCGGGCTCTTCCCCACAGTAGGATCCGTGGCTGAAGATAGGGCAAGGAATCTCGTGTAAGCGATCTATAAATACATTACGAGGCGTAAGCTCCGGGAACGAACCACATCGCAATGGAGCAGGGTGTCTGGACAACAGTGAAGAAGCGGAGAGTATACAGTAACAGAGATCATGAGATCATTCTTATCGAGGAGGGTTCAAGCCGACGGAGGAAGGTGCGCACGGTGATGGGGTCGAAAGTTGCAGAAGATGTGCACAACACTCGGGATGCACGCTCGAGGGGCGCCGGCCATCTTGGATTGGCTTTAGAAGTCCTCTCTCGGTTTTTCAACTCTTGGCTTTCCGTCAACGGGCGTGCATCCGGGATGTGGAGGCCTTGCAATTTGTCCACACTGGACTGAGAGAATTCGGTGGATGGACTGGACTGGATAGCTGGGGAAAGTGGTTTGTTAGAAACGAAAAGTAGGAGCTAGAGCTTCTAAGCGCGCTCGGCAGTGTATTCACAATCGCAAGTAACTATATTCGTAACTTAAAGGTACGACTACGCGGGATTGGAAAGCTGGCCGTACATTGAAGTTTGAAACTTGGAGAAAGAATGAAAATCAATGAAAACTCTTTGAGGCAACTATCGCGTCGGCTTAACGTGCCATCCGTGTACGTGGACAACGAGGGGGTTCCTACAGCCAGGCCAGCTTCCGTGGACCATCCCGATGGAAAGAAAGACAAAGAAAAAGAACAAAAAAAAACATGAGAATAGAATTCAAGTGTACTTCATGCATAAGCCGTGGTACCATTAGCAGATCGTCATTGGAGTCGCGCATCCGCTTCTTGCCGAGCTCGATGCTCGCCATATTGGCTGACTGAAGTCCTCCGGGCACTGCGGTGGCCGGCACTCCAGAGACGCCGCCGGTCATGGCGGTCATGGTGGTCGGCATGGTGGCCGTCTGCATAGCGATTCGTACCGTTTTTCGGTTCGGTGAGTACCAAGGTGTAAACCGCCAGGTGGGTCCCCAGGAGGTGGAGTCATCGATGGGTCCATCCAGGTCGAGATCGAGTCGGGTCGATTGCATCGGTCAGGTCGTGCACGGCGTGTGGGTAGAGTACATTTGGACGGTTCGTTTTCGGGCATTCGTCGGCAAACCGGCAGGCGTTAATTTGGCAGGTAGCGAAGCGCACGAAGAGGTTTTCAGCAAGCATGAAGCATCGCCAGCGAGAGGGCAAGATCAAAATCAAAAAAAAGAAAAAAAGACCAGTTGAGGCTAGGCAGACAGTCGCAACAGGTATACAAGTATTCTTCGTATC